AGACTGTGACAGGTTCCTGTAGTTCCAGCTGCTTGGGAAATTGAAGTAAAAAGATTGCTTGAGCCCAAGAATTTGGGGTTGCTGTGAGCTATGATGCCACAGCACTCTGTCTCAAAATCAATCAATAAATAAAAACAATATAACCCAAACATTTATACCCGTATATTAATCTGAAATAAAAAAGTGATAATTTTTTTTAAAAAATCACTCACGTTCTTATGAGAGCATATAAAAGCAATACATACAAAGGCTCAAGATGAGACAAGACACGATCTATGTGACTAGGGAAGGATGGAGGGAAAGAGGAAGAGAGGAACGGATTAAGCAAAGGAAGGAGGAAGAAGGAGAGAAAATCATTTAGTCAAGCTAGGGAAGATTTTAAGGAAATGGATATCTCAGGATTATCCTGAGAGGATAATCCAGGGACCCTCCAGGGACCTGCATGCTGTGACAAGGATTTAGACTACCTGATGACAGTGGCTGCTGTGGAAGAATTTACAGAGAGAAGTCAGATTTTCGTTTTGGTAGCACACCAGTGGCAGTGATGGCTCCAGAAACTAGAGCCTACATGAAAACCTTCCTCTCTTGGCAGTGCCCCCCGCCCTGGAGGTAACATGTGTACAGGGAGGTTCCCATGGTGAGCATGAGTGGGCAGGAGAGGGGCTCTGCACTCCACAGGTAAAGAGAGGGAGGTGGGCTGTCTGCAGCTGCAGAAACAGTCCCTGCTCCCCAGCCATCACAGCTCTGGGATTCCACATCCGCCTCAAGAGGGTTTCTGGAAGAAGCCGCAGAGTGCTCAGAGCTGGGAGAGACAAGGGTGATTATTATCTCATGCAGACCTATCATTTTACAGTGAAAGAGTCTCCTCATTTCTATCAGCCATGTGGCTCTGAGGTTAGTTTCTTTAGAACTCAGCCCTAAAAATTGGCTGCATTTGCGTTTTTATGTTGTGTTTTGTTTATATTTTGCTTTGTTTTAAGTCTGGAGATACTGCCTAAAATGACTGTCTCTGTCCCCACCACAGATAATCAGCTTTTTTCTCTCAGTGTGAAACACCATGGGTTGTATATCTGATTTCCCATGACAGGACTTTCTCCTGCAGCAAACCAGACCCCGAGAGCCTGGGTGGATGGGCCTCTGGCTGGCCCTGCTGTGGTGCAGGGGGTAGGGTCTGCCAATGAGTTCAGCTGGGAAGAAGGCCAGGCCCCAGGACACAATTTCCTTCAATGGCTTTGCCTCAATTTACTGCTGTTGGTATTTGTTGGGATAAAATCTGTGAAGTATTGACTCCACACCTTTTTGTATCAAATATGTCTTTTTATATCACACCTATTTAATCATCTGCAGACACTAATGGGGTACCTACAAAGTGCTGGCCACTCTAATTTTCACTGAGACAATGAAGACACAGACTTATTTTAGGCAGCTTATGATTTCGTGATTTTTATTGAATTTACAAAACAGGAAATAAACATTAAAACTCAACTTTTCCTCAGAGATTCACAACATTTTATAACTAATTTTATACAATCCAAGAGAACTCGTATAATTTTAGGTCCCAAAGAATCAGAGTTTTACTTGACACACAAATTCTTAAGCAATAGAACCTTCATTCTTCGTGGCCAGCGCATATCCTAAAGGCCCAAGTGGATTCCTGCTGTCATAACATGCATGGCAGGTCTGGCAAAGGAGGATTGCAGTGAGATAGTACGTTTATACATAAGAGTAATGCTCACACTCCAGTCTCATTTTAACCAGCGATCATCCCTATTTTGCAAATAAAGGACTAAAGTCAAGAGAGGGTCAGAAACCTAACCAATATCGGGCAAGCAGTAGTTTCCCTCATTCTCAACATCATCATCACCACCATAACTCGGGATCGCAATCGTCCATGTGTGCATGGTGTTACATTAACAGTAGCCATGTGTTTATTTATTGAGCAAATATTCACCCAATACTTGTCATGTACAAAACTTCGAATAAGACACAGTTCCTGCCATCAGGGAGCTTCCAGCACCATGAATTAAAAATTCCAGTTATCAACTGATAAACTTTGGGTTGTTTCGCCTTTTGGCTGTTATGACTAATGCAAGGTCATGAACATTTATGTGCAAGTTTTCATATGGGCATATGTCTTCTTACAATCAAATACTATTCAGCTATAAAAAAGGACTGAAGTATGGTACTTTCTAAGACATGAGAGAACCTGGAAAACATCATGATAAGCTAAAGAAGCAAGATACAAAAGGGAATGTACGTGTATTTCATGTATTTCATAATTCCATTTATATAAAATATCCCCAAATGGCAAAATCCATAGAGACAGAAAGTAAGCTATTGGGTTGTCAAGCGATTACATGAGGTAGTCTTGGGGTGACTCCTAATGCTTATGTAATTTCCTTTGGGGGTAATATAAATGTTCCAGAACTAGACAGCAGTGATATTTGTACAATTTTGTGACTATACCAAACATAATTGAATTGTGCACTTTCAAAGTGAGAATTTGATGGTGTGTGAACTTAACAAAACATGTCCATACAAAATTAAAAGTAAGTATGATAAGTGATGTGTGATGGTAGAAAAACAGTGAGTAGAATGCCAAGGGGTACATAAGTGCTGTGGTCATAACTTCTATGTTATAGAAAACCTATTATATGCTTGTGTGTTTCATATTATTCTAAAGGAATGGTTTATTTTCTCTCACTTAATCTGAACAGTAACACTCATTCAGCAACTATTGGTGGGGAGGGACTTAAAAATATGGCAGGCACTGATTTAAAAACGAGGTCTCTGCCCATTCTGCTAAGGGGAATGACATACTGAGGGACTGGGGGTCATGTTGAAGAAATAGGAAATAAACAAGAGGCACAAAGTCGGGCCGGGTGGGACATTGAGAAGCCTTATCACATGGGTGGCCAAGGAAATCATCTCTGAGGATTGATCTATGAGGGCTGTCCAGAAAGTACCCAGCCATGTATGTCCCTATTTTTCACAGTTCAGGGCTGAACACTTTCCAGACAGTCCTCATATGAGCAAAGACTTCAGTGAAGCAAGAGGATGAACTATGAGAAAATCTGTCATACAAATGTTCCCAACAGAAGGGATGCACGAGTTCTGGACTGCAAGTGAATTGGGCACATCTGCGTCACAACAAGGAAGTCTGTGCAACCAGAGCAGAGTAAATAAGGTGAGAGCAGCAGAAGGTAAGTGAACTCCGGGAGAGAAACATAGAGTCAGATGCTGTTTTGGAGTTTATCAGATGCAGTCATGGCTTTAAATTACAATACATTTTTGAGGGAAATCTATTGGAAGGTTTAGATAGAGAGAAGTGTCATGATTTGGTTTATGTTCCCAAAAGGTTACTCTTAGGACTAAGCCGAGAAGACCACAGGGAAGCAAGAGCAAGAAGGTATTAGTTGGGAGAATTGATGTAGGGATCATATAAAGGTGGCTGGAGTGATAGGAAAGTGACAGGAGGTAGTTAAAAAAATGGTCAGTTCTGGATATGATTCTAAGGCAGAGCTGCTGGGTCTTATTGGTGGAGTGGATGTGGGAAGCCAGGAAAGTGAGTGACTAGATTAAGTTGATCAAACTATTATGTCCTATTATGAGAAAGACCAGAGGAGGAAGAGTTTGGGGGTAGAGATGGTGAAAGTCAAAAATGTATTAGACATAAGAGATGAAGAATAGACACAGATGGTGCTGTTGAGCTCAGAGTAGACACCCATGGTAGGGATTAAATTTGGAGCTCAGCAGCATGTAGGTACTATTTAAAGTCAAGCTTCAGACTCGAGAGAGGATGTGGAGAAAAGGGAACACTTCCACAGGGTTAGTAGGATTGCAAAATAACCCAGCCTTTTTGGAAAAAAGTATGGAGAAACCTCAAAGAACTAAAAGTAGAGCTTTCATTTGATCCTGTAATCCTATTACTAGGTATCTATCCAGAAGAAAAAAATAGTTTTACCACAAGGACATTTGCACTAGAACGTTTATCATAGCTCAGTCCACAATTGCCAAGATGGGAAGTCAGCCCAAGTGCCCATCTACACATGAATGGATTAATAAACTGTGGTATGTATATGCCATGGAATACTACTCAGCCATAAAATAGATGTAGACTTTACAACTTTTATATTAACCTAGATGGAGTTGGAGAACTTTCTACTTAGTAAAGTATCACAAGAAAGGAAAAGCAGGTATCCAATGTACACAATACTAATGTGAAACCAGGAGATGGACACATACAGCCCCACATGGACAAAAACACAATTAAACTGGAGTGGGGGGAGGGGGGGAGGGTAGGAAGGAGGAGGACTGGTGTGCCCTCACCCAACAGACACAATGTAAGGGTATGTGGCCCGCCTCCTGGGTGGGGGCGCAAATGCAACCTGGACTCTACCTAACAAATGCCAACGATGTCATCCAATCATCTGTACCCTCAAAATAAGCTGAAATTTAAAAATTAAAAAAATACCCGCAAAGTACATAAACAAATCAAACCATGGAACTGGATAAAAATACTTTAGAAACTAGAGAGAAGAGAAGAAAGAAAAGAGGGAAAGGAATGAAAAAGAAGAGAGGAGGCTCAAAGCCGTGGAAACCATGTCACTCAGTGGTCAAGCAGAGAAGAGAAGCCAAGAAAGGAACTTTAGAAGGCAATACTGAGAGGCCAGGAAAGAATGAAGAGGAAGCCCGGTCAGTAAAACAAAGTGAAGACAATGTTTCAGGAAGAAAGCCAGAACTGGCAGCTTCGAATGGTGCTGAGAGATTGAATAAGTGAAGAGAAAAATTGACCTTTGTATTCAGCACCCTGGGGGCCATCCTGAAAGTGAAGGGCGGGATAAGAGTATTGAAGTTTGAAAAGAGAAAAAAAGTCAGAACATAGCTGTCCTGCACAGTTGGAACAAGAATTGCTTGTGGGAAATGTAGATTGCCTGGAGATGCCGAGGGTCCATTTCAGATGTTTGCCTTCCATTTAAAGGAAGGTCTTCGGTGACCTCATCATGTTTATGATGCAGTGTATATGGAAAGATAAATTGTTTTGATCCTACAATGTTCCTGAATTCTAATAGCAAGGAAAAGGAGATGATCAGAGGTAGGGTGCTTGAAGTCCACAGTGATTAGTAATGACAAAAATCAGGCTTTCACTATGTGAGAAGACATTTGAGAAGCCACTATGGTGACAGAAGTCATGCTGAAAAGAAAGAGAGTAATGCAGATGCTGAGCTGTTCAGTGGATGTGGAAGAGCCACTTGGGGGATGGCCCATGACCAAAATAAGGGGGGCGGGTCAGGCAGGAATAGCCTGATGGAATAATTTAAAAGTATATATACACAGGGTGTCCGTAAAGTTCATGTGCAACTTACTATGTTGAACTCTTTTAAATTGCACACGAACTTTATGCCCACCCTGTACACACACACACAAGAATATATATATACACACATATATATGAGTATATATTTATATATATACACACACATAATTTTCTCTTTCTTTTTTTGAGAAAGAGAAAATTATCTGGAAATGGTGAAGAAGATACTAACCCTTGGGGCACCAGGGATGTAGAAGGGAGAAAAACACCATTGGAGAGGGCTGCAGTGCAGCTTAGAACTGCTGGTCTACCATTTTTCATTTAGGAAAAGAAAGAGGAAGAGAAACATCAAAGGAAGTGTCTCAGCATGTTGATGAGAGGTGATGAGTCTGAAAAAATGTGGGGGATGAAAGAAGAGTGGGAGGGTAGTTCAACTCGGGGGCTCCACAGAGCTACGTGGGGAGAATGGAGGTGACAATGCCCGGCTGGCATTCTGGATCCGTGGTAGTAAATGAGGAAGATGGGAAGGCATGGCTTGAGGGCTTGATTGCAAGATCTTTTATTTGTAAACACGGGTAATTCTAATTTGAGCCACCTTCTTGAGACTGATCCTTTAAGTTATTTGTTGAGGTGGTGCCATGCTCAATAGGATGCTAAGGCTCCCAGTGAGTCTAGTCCTTGGTCCTGCGACCAAAACATGAGATTATGCTCCTGATTTTGAGCCCTACCAAGGGTGTATGGCTCAAGAAGACTTCTCAGGGAATAATTCACCCACTGCACAGGAGGCTGTTAGGAAGGGGAACACTGACCTTAACAAGAGTCCTGACTGCCAAGCTCATTCTAAAGAAATACATCAGATATTTAGTAAGTGCAGACAGTAAGTTTGGGTTGAAAGTGCCTTCTCTGATTTGAACTCCAGGGCTTACCAGTTTGATCAGCCTTTCACATCAGTTCCTTAAATGGCTGAGATTGTTAGCCTAGCCCCATCTGGGATAGGCCCCCCAATCGATTCACTGAAAAGCCCCATTCTCTCTTCTGCTCCCTAAGAACACTGGGCAGTCCCCTGTTGCCATGACAAACTGTGGGCCATGTGGCCACCCTGACAAAGGGCTACTATGCCTTCTAACTAAATCCCACTCACAATGTCTGATTACCACATGCAAACCCAGCTTGGACAAGCTCCCTGAAAATCACTTGGCTGTCTTCAAGAGTAAAGCTTTTTTTCTCTCTTTCTTTCAAATTTAGCATTTTCTTCTGTCTCCAAAAAAGGGCCGATTTCCATATTCTGTTCCTCATTGCCACTCCCTCAGAAACGACACTTTCCTAAGAGTGTCTCCCTTTTTCCACAGTCTGCTTTCCTGGCCAGTGGTACCAACCTTCCTCATCCTTTTTCTGTGGTTTAAAGAAGACACGAAGATGGGTGACTTAGAATATAGGGCACCACCAGGAGGCAGTAGGAAATAGTCTGTTCAGCTTATAGCTTGAAGGTAGCGATGACAGGTCCTTTCTGACAGAGAGGACATAGGAAGGGAGCATAGGAGTATCCTGAAGTTCACTGCCAAGTCCTGGTAAAGCTAGGAGGGTGGCGTGGGGGGAGGCAGTGAGTTTGAGGAGATAGACATGAAAGATTCATTTTGGCTTACTAATTAAGCATCCAAGTGCAAACACCCAACACTCCAGACATCTGGAGCTCAGAACACCATTGGCACAATTAATAGTGTGGGCTGGATAATGCTTAGCTGTGGGAAGATGTTCTCTGCATTGCAAGATATTTAGCAAATCCCTAGTCTCCACCCACTAGATGCCAGTAGCATTATTCCTTCTCCCCAAGTTGTGACAACCAAACATGTCTCCAGATATTGCCACATGTCCATTAGTGGCAAATTCCCTCCCAACAGAGAAGCACAGACTCGGTGTGAACCAGTCTTATCCACTTGCTATAGAAGCTCACGGACCTATTTCTGTGCACTTGTCTGTAGATATATTTAGTGATAGAACATGTTTTGTTTTTTCTTTTTCACATATGTGCTATTATGTTACATGCATCAATTTGTAACTCGTTTATTTCACACAGAATGCATGAAGCACACCTGCTAGTACGTAAGAAGCTGCCATTTTTTTAAAATGTAGAACTGTAAGCTCAGTTTGTGTATATGCAGTTTATCTGTATTATTGGACCTTTGGCTTATTTGTTGTTGTTGTTGTTTGGTATTGGAAATGGATCTGAAACAAGTGCCTTAACACATACGTCCTCATCTGTATCTCTCAGAGAAAATAAGAATTTTTGGTCCCAGGATATATGCATTTTTAAACTTCATAAATTGCCTCAGGTAGATTGTTTATAAAAATAATTACAATAATGCCCTCCTTGTATCCAGGCCCTTTGCAATTGGACTTTGTTTCTCCTCCAGCTGTTTCTCCACCCCTCAAGTTTGGGCTGGCTTTGTGAATTACTTCAATCAGTAGAATGCAGGGGAGGGTGGAGTGAGGAAGGTGGTACTGCCTCAGACACCATTGTGACTTTACGGCACTGCAGTCTTGGCCTAAGGGACAGACAAGTACCGAGGAGATGAAGCATAAAGGAAGTGAGTCAGCAGATGAAGGAGATTACGTGGCCCGGGGGAAGCAGGTTGGTTGGGAGATTGCTGATCACACATGTCCAGGGCCCATAAACAACAGAAAGCTTCAGTTTCTGCTTCTTCCAGAAGAGAGCTGACTAATCCTAAAAGTTCTCCCGTGTATATACATGTATTGTAGGAAACTCTGTCAGACCTGAAAACCTGTGTACATACTGAGGTGAACGAGGGCAAGGTCATTTGTTAATTTCCCATGGAGGCACCCAGCCCTGTGCCAGCCTCTCAGCCCATGGAGGAAGGGGCATATTAAAAGTACTTTTAGTTTTCTAAGAACATAAACCATATCTCAGATATGTGGCTTAGGCAGGAATTAAAGGGACACATCTATTTGGGATATGGGGTATTGGGGGCAGTTCTTTTGGCTTTGGGTCAAAGCAGAGGGTGGGGGTAAAGTTTTGAGAAGCTTCGAGAAACAAAGTTGGAAGTTTCATCCTTCTTGCTCCCTCCTGTCGTGCCAGGATGTCTCCTTTGACATCTGAAATGCCCTATTGCGCTATTCAACCTTTTTTTTCTGGATTACTGCTCAGCAGCACTGTAGTTTCAATCAGTGGAGTGGCTAGTAAACCCCTTTTTGTTTCCTTTTCTCCCACTCTCTCCTCCTCCCTTCTCGTCTTTTGCCCAGCCCCTTTCTCCTTTCCCTTTAGTTTTCGGTAGGAAAGAAGCATTCCTCTAAAAAGCACAAAGAATCTAGTTAATGGTTTTGTCACTTTGGATAGGAATAACAGCCTGCACTGTATTCCTTGTGCAAAGTTCTCCGAGCACCACATG